ACCACCACCACCACGACCACCACCAACAGCAGCAGCAACAACAACAACCAGAAGAACAGTGCTGCTTCTATACAGACACCTGGCTGTTTGTATTCAGAGACTGTATAAGCAAGAAAAATTCTAACTGGAGATGGGCATCAACAAGCAACTCACATTCAAACACTTCTATCAGGATCAAGCAATTGTGTTATCTTGAAATCAGGTCCTCTGGCAACCCAGGATTGAATCAAACAAGAACTAAAGCAACGGAAAATGAAGGAAGAACAGACAGACTAAGACCGAAAGAAAGGACAACTAAGAATGACAACAAGAAACGAGCAACATAAACTCAGAAGGAGCGCGGGACAACCATAAATACAGAAAGAACAAAGGTGCTGCAAGAGGAAACATGCAGAACCATGAACACACGACGAAAGCAACGACCGAACATCAGAATCGCGGGGAATCAAGACAAGAAAGAAACAAGGTCAAGCAACACTAGCCAAAACCGAGACTCACTGTGACGAAGCTAGCTACATCTACGAGGACAGCCATCACTGACACTAAGACGTCGACGACGACGACTACTACTGCTACTATTGGTCCTACTACTGTTACACCAAAGTGTAACATGGCGCAACGGTCTGGAGCTCGCGGCCTGCGGACACTTTGAAGCACTACATCCAACTCCAAGCCTGAACCTCAACCTACTAGTTTGATGGCGACGGCGACTACTAAAATTACTCCTAGACTCCTAGACCCTAAACCCTGGACCTTAAAAAGTAACAACCGCGGATTTCACGCCGTCAACAGAGGAACGGATTCAATACCCAGAAAAATCCCTTTCAAGCCGATCCGAGCATTGTGCTTTGCAAATGCAGGCCCCTCCTTTTCACGCGTTGCACAGGTTGCGTTCAGGAACCTCATGCTAACAAGAAGGAGAGGAATTGCTTCGATACCCTCCAAAACTAGTCACTCGAGCATTGTGTTTGCAAGTGCGCGCCCCCGCTAAACCACTTGTCTTGTAGGCCTGGCAATCATTCTATGAAGACCTTCATGATGTCAAAATGGCACTGCTTCGAGACCCATATTTCCTGTCTAAACCCAGGATAGTCGCACAATTCTCCAGAAGCATGCCGCAAGAAGGTCGAACTGCACCACCTTGCTCGTCAGTAGGAAAAAAAAGCTAGCCCGTCTCACGGCGGCTTTGACGTAAGTTGTAAGTAGGATGATATGTTGCAAGCACTGGGAATTCTGCAGCTCCAGGTTTGCGGGAACCTTCGAACACTCCGAATGCTGTAAGTAGACTTTGCAGATTTGATTGATTTTGGTTGATGACTAGGGCAATTACGGCGTTTAGTTTGTACGATCCTTGAGGTTAGCTTGTTGGTCCTAATTCATTCTTTGATCCGAAACCTGTGATTCATGGACGAGACTAAACAGTCGGGCAATCTTCCCTGGACAATCTGTCACTATGATGAGATATCCGATTTTCGCAGCATGCTCTCTCGCGACTCTCGCATTCATTTAGTGGTTCCCTTCTCTACTTCTGCTTGCTGCGCATCTTTTGTGCATCATCCTAAAGAGTCGCGGTGATTTATTATCTGATTCGCCTGCTGTCCCCCACCAAAAAAGGCGATAGCTAAGCCTTTGACAGAACTCAAAAAGGCACGGTCAAGCAACATATATATCTATACACTGCTACACCACGAAAGATTGAAGGATACAGCACCTGATGACATGGCAAGAAATGGCATGTTAACACCAATACGGCTGACATCATATTGTTTTCTCAAGCTCAACGACAGGCGAGCTCCATGAAGATTCAGCTAACAGGAAGCGGACCTGTGGTCCACGATGGTTCACACGGAGGCACTAGACTTGACTAAATGACATTGCTGCGATCGAAAACTTTACATCATGCCAAGCCCTCGCCAAGAAAGACATGTCGCTGCGCCTCAAAGCTGGGACATGAACAGTAAGTCAGCTTCGACTGGAACGATCAAGGTCCATCAATGTCTAGGATTTCGAATCGGGAAGCGGCGGAAGTAGCCCCTGCAGCTGCACTTGTTGGGCGTCGCTGGCGGTAAAGTGCAGCAAGGCTCAACAAGTTCGCGGAGCACCTCGAGCGCCATCCACGGCTGCTTGTGAGTCGAGTGAAGCTGATGCGAGTGGGAATGCGAGCTTCTCACGACTAAGTGAGTGCAAATTGTCGTGGTGCATCTGGTTTCGCCTTCGGTACCTTGCTCGAAAACCAAGAGCACATCCTGTATTGCGGAGACCTGTGAACATTTTTGCAGAGAGGATCTGCGGTGGAAGTGGTGGTGTTGGCAACAGTAGAAGTAGAAGTAGTTCTTGTAGTAGTAGTAGTAGTAGTAGCAGCAGCAGCAGCAGCACCACCACCACCACCACCACCACCACCACGACGACGACGACGACTACTACTACTACTACTAATACTACTAAGAATACAAGAACTACATCCACTATTACTACGACGACGACTACTACTACGACGACGACTACTACTACGACGACGACTACTACTACGAATACAACAACAACAACAACTGCTGCTACTACTACTACTACTACTACTGCTACTACTACTACTACTACTACCACCACCACCACCACCACTACTACTACTACAACTCCTAAGTCCTACTCTAACTACTGCTACCACTGCCTACGACTCCCACTACGACTACAAGTGCTGCTGCTACCACTCCTAGTGCTCCTGCTACTGCGACTGCTACCACTACTAGTGCTGCTACTGATGCTGCTGCCAGTGCTGCAACGACGTCGACTACTGCTACTACCACCACTACTGCTACTACTACGACGACTACTACTACTACTACTACCACTACTACTACTACTTCCACTACTCCTACTACTACTACTAC